TTTCTTTCAGTCAGCAGTAGTACTGTCAGCAGCAACCTCTTTTCATATATTTCAGGCATCTCTATTCATGTGCAATTAAAATATATTCAAGAAGAAAATTATTAAATATTAAAAAAACATATATTTTTTAAAAGGAAAACGGCTTACCTCTTTCCAAGGACTCACGAACTGAGTACGTGCATATCGAGTCAGCATATGGATAATGACAACTTGTCCCCATTCCTCCACATCAACCAACAGACTACACAGCTTTCGATAGTTCTTATGAATCAAATCTATTCTGTCTGGGCAGACTTCCTCAAATGCCATCACAACACTTCCTGCTACAAGCTAGGGAACAAGAATTGAAAAACACAAGGTTCAACAAAGGTATGTCCAGTCAAAATGACAGATTCTGAAAGGGAAATATTATGAATACTTCACCAGACAGCAAGAAATGCAGCTGTTGTAAACTTCTTACCCACATTACATTAATACACAGATGTGACATTAGTTTTGTCAGCTTCTATAAACGCTTTCTAGATACAGGTCTCCACATGAGCCCAGTCTTTTTACTAGAATAATCAAGATGGGTGTCAGTAGCACCTTAAAGACTAACAGAATTTGTGGTAATGTATGAGCTTTCCTGAGTCACTGTTCACTTTTTCAGTAGTAAGCAGTGACTCACAAAAGCTCATACCCTACCACAAATTTTGTTAGTCCTTAAGGTGCTACTGGACTATTTTCTACTACTAGAATAACGTTATGGTCACTCCTAGACTGATGATATGTTGAGTCCTGTATAACAACACATCCATAGAGGCCTCTTCTCTAACAGAAGAAGGGAGGAAGAGACATGGAGTAGCCATAAGTAGGTGCACAGAGAATGATAAAATGTGACGGAATAGAAACATATGATGATTATCACTAGTGCTCATTACACACAAAGTATATGTGCTCTTTGATGTTTTCTAGTACAGCTCATTATCATAAAATATCCTTGACAATATAGCAAAACAGAAACAGTTCTAAAAAGTACAAAAAATAAGACCTTGTGAAATGCTAAGTGTCAATATGGAACATGGCAAGCTTAAGAAAAAACCTAGATTTTTTATTTGGTGAAGAGATAGATTTCTTCTCACTAGCTTTTCAAATACCCAATTTATGACCTGATTCAGAAAAAGGTCAAATATTTATTGTATCAACACTTTAGTATGTAGCACGTTCCAAACTCAATTTTAAAAGAACTAATATTTTATTCAGCATGGTTCTTGCTGCAGCTTAAGACTCTCTATATTTAGGAGTAGTTTCAGTATGAGAGTGGGAAGGTAATTATTACGTTATAAACTGTTTGTATTGTTTTTAATTACTATAATATTGGTAAATTTTTATTTTTGTTAAATAAATGTATATATCTATCCATATAAACACAAACATACCATCTAGATCCCCTTTGCCTAACACAATTTATTGGGTTGCTTCCTCATTACAATCAAATCCCGGACTTCTAATAACTAAACTTCAGCATCTAGATTTGTCAGCTCTTCCCTGGTTAACAATACATACCTTAGCTGTGACTAAAAAGTAAATTCCATCATTCTTCATTTTTTCTTTAAAAAGTCAATGTATCTAATTCTTAACAAGGCCCTATCGGTGGATACTTAAATCTGGAGATTGGAGCCATGAACAGAGAAGACAGATCTTTCTACAAACCTAAGAAAATCCCCAGGTTTGCAGAAAATCCTGAAGTCTAAAAAAAGCACATTTGGGGGGGTTTAACATCCCCCCAACAATAGAAGCAGTGCCTTTACCTTCAAGAAACAAATTCATCTTAGTGGTTGCTGTATCAGTTGCTAAACAACTACAACAGTACTGCCAGCCTTCAAGCCTTGGTTTCTGCCACTACAAGGCAGAGAGAAAAGGAAGGGCCCATTACAGGGCTGTTTTGGCCTTTGAGGGAAGACTCACTGAGGCTAGGCCCACCAGCAACCACTGGGTACTTGTTAACACCCAACTTATTGATTTACTTTATTTATATCCGACCTTCCCCCCAATGGGAACCCAAAGCGGCTTACATCATTCTCCTCTTCTCCATTTCATCTTCACAACAACCCTATGAAGTAGGTTAGGCTGAGAATGTGTGACTGGCCCACGGTAACGCAGAAAGCTTCCATGGCAGAGTGGGGATTTGAATCTGGCTTTCCCAGATCCTAGCCTGACACTTTAACCACTACACCATGCTGGCTTGCATGATTCATTCAGGCCCAGCTGCTTGCAACTGTTCAACAGCAGCCACCCCATGAAACTCAGAGTGCTCCAGTGGTTAGAGTGTCAGACCAAAATACAGAAGACCATAGTTCTAATATCCACTCTACTATGGTGCTCCCCGGATGACCTTGGCCAGTCACACATTCTCAGTCTAACCTACATCACAGGGCTGTTGTAAAAGTAAAATGGGGGAAAGGAGAATAATACAAGCTGCTTTTGGTCACCATTCTGGAGAAGTGTGGGATATAAATGAAGTAAATAAATAATAATAATAAATATAGCTAAAGATGGAAGGCAGATCATAAGTTGATAGGTGGGCGGAAAGAAGAAAAGGAAGTAGAGAAAAGTAAGGATATGGAGGCTGCCAGGAGGAGAAAAAGAGGAAATACAGAAAGATACAGGGGATAGTAAGGTGGACTCCCATAAGTCCTCACAGGTTCCCCACCATGCAACATACTCTTGTCTAGCACCCAGCACTGCCCAACTATTTATTTGCTTAAACAAGCTTCTAAACAGCATTAACAATTTTAAAAATAGCAGGATATTTTTTAAAAATCAAGGAAAGTCTGGGCAAACAATTATACGTTTAGCTGGCTCTGGAAACTTAGTAAATTCACCACCAGCGAATTATCTCTAGGGAGCTTGCTCCATAACTGAGGTACCACTAGAGAAAAAGCCTTGTCTTACACAGCCACCCATCTTGTTTCAGATCATGATGGCACACAGAGCAAGGCTTCAGGCAAGTGCAGTAATCAGGGTTCTACAAGGGGGGACCCACAAGAAACTTGCAGGGAGGATGCATTCCCCCACCTTTGCTTCCTTCCCTCTCCCCCCTCTCTGTCGTTCTTTCTCTCCCCCATGCCAATCCCTCCTTCTTTTTCTTTACAACCCTCTACCAAGTCGATCCCTCTTTCTTTGTCTTTCTCTCTCCCCCCACAAACTAATACCCCTTCTTTCTCTTCCCTCCAAGCAAATACCCCTATCTTTCCCTCTCTCTCTCTCCCCTAAACCAATCCCTCCCTTCTTTCTCCCTAACTTTGAGCCCGACAGCAGTGGCAGTGTCTTTGAGACTGAGCCAGTGCAGGCTCAGCCACAAAATCACCTGCGGCTTTGCTCCTGGCTTCCCAAAAGTGGAAAAGCCTGTAAAGGCCTCATTGCTAGGAAAGCCGTTGCTAAAGGTAGTCACATGCTCAAAACAGTCGCTTCCTAGGACAGAGGGAGGGGGAGAGAAGACCATTCTCTGCGCATGAGCAGAAAATGATGTTATACTTTTGGGGGGATTTAAGTATCCCCCATATGCTTTTAAAAAAGTTTTTAGATTTTTCTGCACTCGTGGGGAGTGCCCCAAGTATGCAGGATAATATCTTTTCCTTCCATGTGCCCCCGATCTGCAGAAATAAGTATCCGCACACAGGGGGCCATGTTGGGAATTAGATATATAGACAACAAGGGGGACCCACGATACTTGCGGGGGGAGTATTCCCCACAGCTCCTTGCCTGCAGAAGCAGGAGGAGCTCCACAGGAGGAGGAAGCAGCAGCAGGTGAGCCCATCAGGTAGACCCATCAGGCCCAGCAAGCCTTCTCCCTCCTCCCTCCCTCTGGCAGCGGCAGTGGTGACGCCTGAGGCCCGCCAAGCTATCTCCCCCCTTCCCCCTCCCTCAACACCAGCGGCGGTGAGGCCCACCAAGCCTTCTCCCTCCTCCCCACCTCCCCAACATTGGTAGTGGCAAGACCCGCCAAGCCTTCTCTCTCCTCCTGGCAGCAGCGGCCGCAAGGCCTGAGGCCACCAAGCCTTCTCCCTTCTCCCCTCTGGCACCGGCGGCAGTGAGGCCTGAGCAGCTCAAAGCCACCGGCCCACCAAGTCTTCTCCCCTCCCCCAGCAGCAGCAACAGTGAGACAGTTGCTAGGGCGTTCTCTCTGCATGCACAAGGAACGCTCTTTTACTTTTGGGGGGATTTAATTAAGTATCCCCTGTATAGTTTTTTCAACATTTTAGATTTTTCTGCACACCTGGGGACTGCTCCAAGTGTGCAGGAAAATCTCTCTGCCCCCCAAGTGCCCCCGATGTGCGGATTTAGATATCCGCAGGGAGGGGGCAACTTGGCTATTAGATATATAGATTACAGCAGGCAGTTCTTCAAATACCTTCATCCCAGATCATATAGGGCTTTAAATGTCAGACCCAGCATTATGAATTGAGAATGCAAGTGGAAACAGGTGCCAATATAAATCCTTTAGCAAAAGTGGAATAGATTGCTGTTGCATTTTAAACTAGCTGAAATTTGCACAATGTCTTCAAAGGCATCCCCACATGGAGCACCCTACAGTAAACTAGTTTTGATGTGATTAGAACTGGCCAGAGGTGTGAAGTGACAGAGACACCTGAAGCTGACACCCATCTAGAATAGGATGACTGCTTAATCACTGATGTGGTATAGAAATGCCCACCAGCATCTCTGTTTTGTCATGACAGATGAGTTCCTTGGGCTTCATCCCCATGAGTTTATTGGCCCTCATACATCAGAATAAATTACCAATCATTTACCACGGAAGGCAATATAAGACTACTATGCATAGTGACATTTTCGTGAAACATATAAAACTATTTCAAATTTAACTGCCCCCTAAAAAAAGTGCCCTATAATACTATCATCATTTGTAGAGAGCTTTCACATAATATCTTGTAAGGTATACCAGGAGCAGTACTATCCTCAGTGTACGGGGGTGGAACTCACCTAATGCCCTCTGAGTTTGGGACTGAAGTGAGATTTTAACAAGAAACCTCATTTTATTGGCAACTGTGGTTTACCCGTTTCACTATATTTTGCTTAGACAGGACAAGGAAATATTACCCTTTCCTCATGATACATAACATTTTAGGATTTTCCAGTGCTTAATGAAACATACATGCAGAGATCATCTTCTTGAACAAATCATAGTCTGGCACTTTTATCACAGACAGCATTCAAAAACAAGTCCCAAATTCCTCAATATTTCAAACCTCTAGATTTTTTTTTTTGCTATATCAAAGACTGTGTGTCTGCAGGGCCTATTTCTTTAAGCATTGTACACGAAATACAAGAGCTAGTGAAAATACTGCATCTAGTTGCCTTATAAGTACGCCATCACCACTTGTCTTTGTGTCTTACCAATTACCTTTTTGCTAACTGCTTTAATTAAAATGTGTTTTGTTTCAAGCCACATGCTAAACAAAACAACTACGAAGATAAGGCTTCTATAAGAAGCAACTTGATATGTATGCAGTTAAGCATGCATGTGAAGCAGCTTTCTGGCAGCAAATTAATGTCACATTCTAGCAGAGCACTGGGGATCTGCATTTCAACCTCTAAAATTTCCCCAATGATTTAAAGTAAGCAATTAAATAGAAATACAATTTATTGAAATGGCACTTTTAGAAAAATATTAAATACAATGATATTCATATGTTAGAGTTTTTCCCTATTTTTGGTTGACATTTGGTTTATTAGTATGCACCCACCATTACAACTGAAAGAAAACTGCTCAGAATATAGTGTTGCTATTATGCTAAACAAGTTTCAAGTCCTGTGGGGATTTTATAAATTACCAATAACTATAAACGTGACGTTGCATTTATTGTCTCCAGCCCTGCTATGTACTGGTACCTGCTGGTCTCAGCATGTATACAACTCATTCTATAAAGAAAGAATTGATTATTTGTAAAGGACTAAGGAAAATGCATTATACTTACATTTATTTTCTATCACATCACTTGTATTAAAAAAAATCTTGCTTCCATTGCTGATGTTTATACTAGCACTCTTTCTACAACTTCTACTAACATTCCCTACCTTAGTTAACACAGACATTAATCAGGCCATCAGAGCACACAAGAAAACAGGAAGATAAAGTAAAAATACTGAATTTAAATGGTAACAAAAATTAAATGCCAACACCGGAAAAATGGTTTGTTTACTGCTACTTATTTTTTTTGGGTAATGTCAGTATCTTCATGAAGAGACAGTGGTCCCCAAAACAAACTATGAATTGTTAATCATGTTGTGAAGAACTGCTGTCCAGGAAAAGTTAAGGAGATGAGTGATAATAGTTATTGCTCAGTTGAAGATAATCTATTTAGTTTTCATATTACCCTAAAACCTGAGATTCTGCTAGGAAACTGACAAGCTTGCCTTAAATGAAAAGATAGCAGCAATTAGACAAAAACCAACATTTCCAATATTGCTAAAGAAAAACTAGGATGCTGTTCTTCATACATTCTTGACACTAGAAGAATGGTAGGCATTAGCAGAAGCATAAAAGAGAGGCAAAATTCAGTTTTTTTATTTCAGTAGAGCAGTGGACAGTTTTGAAGGGTTTTGGTTTGTTGGTTTTTATACAGGGTGCTTATTTTCCTCTTTAAACCTGCAATTTATTTAGGCACAAGCAGAGATGCCTTTACTAGCTCATTTAATCACATAACAAGACTTTAGTCTCTGAACTATGTGTACCTTCTACACTGAAGCATATCTTGTGCTAAACATAAAATGGTTAAGAAACACTGAACTCTGGGCAGGTTTCTTTTTTATTCAGCAGAATTTCTGATTCTATAAAATAATCATTCAGAGAAAAAAAGGGGGGAAATTAACTAGGACTTTACATTTTTCCAAAGATGTAGAGAAAAAGTCTCAAATAATTTTTTTTCTTTGAGTGGCATCCTACTCCCAGTCTAAATACCTGAGGAACAGCTGATAATCTTAGTTTATTAAATATTCAATATTCCAGAAAAACACTGAGATGTAAAACAAAATGATCCAACCACAATTTGGGGGGAAACTGGTTTACAAAACAGTGTCTATGACAGTTAGGTGAAAGTTAAATAGTAGCTTTTTTGTGCAAGAAAAAATAAATCATCCCTATAAAACTAGCAATAAGCCCATCAAATTCAAATACAGCTTTCCATTTATGTATTTTTTATATTAAAGCAATAAACATGGTTCATTTGTCTTTCACTCGTTGCCACGTTTTTCTGTGCTGTTGCTATGAACTTCAGCCATTAGCTGCGCTCCAAGGTAAACTACATGAACCATCAACAAAAGTGACACCCAATCTATGGAGTTCATATTTTCTCCAGATTATCTATGCTAGTTGACAAGCTGGTAATGAAAAAAATCACACTAAGCAAATGGTTCCTCTAATAACAATAAATTTTCTATAAAATTATGAAGGGTACAAAACGTTTCCTTGCATCTATTTTGTCATGAATTCTAATTAATGCTGCAAAAACCTGAGAGTGCTGGGTCATCACAAGAAGTGTATCGAGGTTTGATTGATAATATGGTGCAAGTTGGCCTATGCTGCCAACATTTCCTTCTCTTAAATTAATGGCCATCCCACCTGCCCTAATCATACAGCCCAAATGATATTCCCCTTCTTATTTCAATTTTCTGGAAGCATGGAAGCTGGTAAAGATCAGTCATTTATCTTCTAATAGCTGGATAATAGATCTATCACAATACAGCATCTGCACAAACTCAGTTATTCCCTCCCCACACAACAGTAAAGCTTTTACCAACATTGAATCAATAACTTTGGAAAACACTAGGTTACCTACACATTTTCAATCTCAACACACGTTTACTTCTAGCAAATCTGCTAAATATGTTAAAGAATGCACCTTACTTTACTCCATTTTCCCCAAGGCAATATTCTAGTTGAGAACACATCAGTAATCTCATCACAAAGCCATCACCATTTCTTCAGCTCATTTTTAACAAGCAAATTATTTGACCTCCCAAGAGTCAGCTGCTACAGATAATCCTATCTAGTCTTCATAAGACACATGGGCACTCAATTTGCTTCAAAAGAAAGATGTGTTTACACCCACAGCTGGAGACCTCAAAAGTCCTTTGAGCATCAATGAACCTAAAATCTACAGGAAGAGATGCAATGAGATATCCTTGGTTCCCATGCTCCACTGCATCTTGTGTCTAAAGACTTTTTCCCCTACCTAAATTCATGGAAGCCAAATGTGACACAGTCCAGAACCACCATCCTCCATGGAATGGCAGTTTGTCACACTGAACATGAGGAAGGTAAGTGCTATCAACCTTACATCGCTTTAGGACCAATATGTTTCTCTAGTTTCTCAAAGTTGAAGCAATGGCCAGTAGTGCTTTTCACCAACTCAGTTTAAGGAAGAAAATACACCTTTTTCTCTCAGACTGATACTGATGCCTGGCAATAATCATGCATGCCTTCAAAATAACAAGAGTTAACATGAAGCATACTCTTCTTTGAGGCCGTTACTGAAGTATATTTGGAAGTCACATTTAGCACAGAATGTAGGAGGACAACTCCTGGTAAAGGAGGATTGCAGTTATCTGTAACTATTATTCATCAGGTGTCTTCTGTGCAGGCACACAGGGGGACTGCACAAGTGTTTCTAGAGCTTTCAGAGCTCCAAAGGAGCACCTCCTCCCTCAAGCACACAATGGAGTTTTTCACCCAAACCGATCAGAGATGAACATCCATTCCCCTCAGTTCTCCTGAAACACCATTGTGTGTTTTCAATATTGGTTTTCAATTTATGGGGATTTTATGGCAATGGGTGTTTTTTTACTTTTATTTAAGATGTGTATACCACTTTCTGTTACCTGTGTTGTAAACTACCTTGAATGTCTTGCAAGTCAGAAAAGCAAGTTATAAATTTTCACATACCTATTTGCCTATCCTTAGCAGAGGAACTACATAAACAAGGCAACCAATTTCAAAGACTGAAAAAGCCCTTGTGACCAAGTAAAAAATCACGACAATTATGAATAAGAATGAGTTGGATTTATACCCCACCCTTCACTCGGAGTCTCAGAGCAGTTTACAATCTCCTTCCCTTTCTCTTCCCACAACAGACACCCTGCAAGGTAGGTGGGACTGAGAGAGCTCTGAGAGAACTGTGACTAACACAGGGTCACCCAGCTGGCTGCATGTGAAGAAAGGGAATCAAACTCAGTTCTCTAGATTACAGTCTGCTGCTGTTAAACACTTGACCAAACATAACTACATGAACACCTTTCAGAAAAATAATGAGAAGCCTGGAGATGGGAAGGGTTTTGAAATTAGTGTTTTAGAGTTATAGCTATGCTTTAAAAGTATCACAGTCTGCCATAAGCCCTTTAGATAGGGCACAGTTTTAAACCTGAAAAAAATAACTGAGCTATTGGTAACAGGATTTCCCAACTACAGTGCCAATCTGTCTTTCCAATGGAGTAGCACAGCTACTTCTACAAAGCCCTCTACAGTATTACTAATGCTATGTATACACCTTTCCCCTGCCTAACCACTGAAGTTCTTCCATCCTGTTAAGATTAAGCCATGAAACCTCACCTCTGTTCTATTTAGACCACTTTGTGCTAAAAAAATTAATGCAGATAGATTTTATTTGGGATAAATATTTTTAAAACAGCTTTTCTAACTTCTTTCAAACTAATTTTAAGTATTATTTCCTCAAAAGTATTCAGACAACAGCTATTCTTCAGTAACTGCCTTTACTAATGAAAACCACAAAATTAATTATATTGTAGTAATTTGTATTACTTACTGTGCTCTTGTCTTTTAGAAGCTTCTCTATCACTTCAATTAACATTTCCTTTTGCTCAGGATCAAGGCTAAAAGGTGATGAAAAAATCAAATCCTCTTGTTTTATAATATTCTGTATTCCACAACTTTTTGCTATCCTATCTAAAAAACTAAAAAGATTTACATAAACAAACAAAAAAGGAGAACAGAAACATGATCACCTCAACTTGACCTTTCAGGAGCAAGCAGTTGTAGTTGTAAGAGGACCACAAAGAAATGATCAAGTCTGTGTGCTGCAGCCCTTTACAACTTAGCCATGCAAATATGTTTTTAAGCTCGGTTTCAAATCATCGAATATATTGTCAAGCTGTGGAAACGCTGATTTTTCAGCTGCCTGAATAAATAACCTGATAAAATTCTGACAATGCTTTGCACGTATAGCTTTGAGGGGCCTCGAACAATGTTAAAACAGACCTTTTAGTCAAAGTCAGCTTGCTGACTTTATGCCCATTAGCAGAAGGCAGTTATCATAAGCTGTACCTAAACTTCATTATAGCACACTCTGCTGAACATTAAATACATCTCTTCCATATTCATGGCTGAAGAGAACTTACCTGTAAAGCTTTTGAATTGCATGGGCGGCATTTTTTCTAACATAAGGAGATAAATCTACTGATGCTTCTTTGATAGCAAGCATCATAATTGGAACAATAATTGGAACTCTGATACTGGATAAGACTCTCAAAGCACTTGCACGGATTAACTGATTAGGATCCTAAAATGAAAATGAAATGTTAGTAATCTTCAAATATACATATTGTTAAAGTTGCTCTGAGAAAGCATACATAATTTGTTTTATTTCTAAATCCATATCCTGATTGAAAATGGACCCAGAAGCATTCACTGCAATACATCACAGATATTATGCACTATTGAAAGAATGATAATTTATCAACTGGGAGATAAACCATCAGAAATATTTAAAGACAAGTAGACAGACTGAAAACCTTCAAAAATCACTTCCCCCTCCTCATTTTGAAAGGTATTGTGCAACTACAGCATGTGGGTCTCATCCTTCATAATGACGGAACAAGACATAATGACAGAACAAGACTGATACAATTTAATGGCATTTATTACTCTGACCTATCATAACAGTTTAAATTGAAAACCATGATTTTCCTTCATTGATGTATTATTAAGTTGACTGTTACTGTACATAAAACATCTAGGAGATTTTAATGGTTTTAGCTCTTTACAAGAAGGAGGACATGCGATATTCACAGGGGGAGTATTCCCCATGGCTCCTGGCCCGCAGGAGCTCCACATGGAGGAGGAGGCGGTCACAGGTGAGCCCAGCAAGTGGGGCTACCCGGCCCGCCAAGGCTCCCCCCCACAATGGCAATGAGCCTGTGCAGCTCCCAGCTGGCCCACCAAGGCTCCCCCCCTCAACAGCGGCAATGGCAGCAAGCCCTGTGTGGCTCCCAGCCAGCCCGCCAAGGCTTCTCCCCCCCCCACAGCAGCAATGGTGATAAGCCCTGCCTCTGTGACAGTTCCCAGTGGTGTGTTCTCTGTACATGCGCTGGGAACACTCCTTTACTTTTGGGGGGATTTAAGTATCTATTTACCTTCCATATGGTCCCGATGTGTGGATTTAGATATTCACACACAAAGGGACCCTTGCCGATTAGATATATAGATTTACTGTCAAATTCCCTATTTGTGTGTGCTCAGGAACAAAACACTAAGCTTAAGCCAATATAGTATGATGGACCACAATTCTATGCCAGCTTATTCAAAGTACGTCCCACCAAATTCAGTGGTGCTTATTCCCAGTTGTGCACATAGTATTGCAATCTTAGTCTAGCAAGAACAATTTCTGTGTAACTTGTTCCATAAAGTTGTTCAAGTCATCTGGACTCCGCCAAAACAAACCATGGGAAACAAATGCTTTATGGCCTACAGCCACCCTATCTGCTACAGCCAAGATTCTAGGTTGTTTTTGCTAATCTGGGTGTGAAGCCCTTTTCAAGAAAGCATCTTATCAGGCAATCTATAGCATAAAAAGTGCATGCAAATGGATTTCCTTTCCCAATGAATTGGTAGCTTATTATGAAGAACTAGAAGCCAAAAGTAGGACGGGAATAGCAACATAGGGATTACTTAGGTGGATTTCTTTCTTCGCTGCTTGACAATTATGTACCAAGGGAAGATTTCAAAGCTTACGTGTCTCCAAACATCCATTGTTCAAGCCACTTTTAAAAAGTCTAATATGCTTGAATGCATTGCTTACAGGCTATCCTCAACCTGGAGCTCCTCTGTCCAAACGATATATTATTGTGCTGGTATCAAATATGGTGAGAGAGAAAAAGCACATACTACCAATTGCAACTATTTTAAAATGTCCCGCTTTGGTTAAAAAAAATCATACTTCAACACCTCCAAGTCCTTGAGTCAATTATAAATGACATTATTCACCAGAGCTGAGTAATCATACCTCTGCAAGGTAACAAACTGATTAACATTTAAATCAAGAATCTCAGGAGGAGAAGCAGACTCAACAGAATACACAAACCTGCTCCTTGAGTGTGTCAGACAAGATTAAACAAAGGAAACAGCACATACACATATCTACTAAGTGACTCCTTTGCTGGCTCCCAAAAAGGACTTTTCAGCACTTTAAAATGGCATCAACAATGTAAAGCAGGCCAGGATCATCACACTGTCTTAAAGACAGTCCAGACGTCAGCTATTCTTCTGCTCATCCTAGTCTGTAAATAAACTATTCGGTAAATAATTTCTGCTGGTAGAGGGGAAAAAACTTTTGTAGCAACAATCTTCAGCAAGCCTTGCTAATTTGATATTTACTCACTTTCAAAGCACGCTGAAAGGTGCTAATTGATAGCAGTGCCAGGTCCTGCTGCTCCTCAGCATAGCGCATCAGATACACATATACCAGTTTTTTAATCTAAAAAAGAAATATTTATAATATTCAAATCTCAGTGATTTCATATGGTTCAGAATTCACCCCAAAAAATGCCCTCATAGAATTTAGCATTCCCAACTTAGGTATGATATATATTGTTAGCCTGCATATTTGTGAAGGGTCAGAGGCATGAAAAACAATAATTCTAGACTACCTGGGACAACAAATTTACACATTAAAGGCTTCCAGCTCTCTAATGCATGAATGATGGTGATTACCCAAGATAAAAAGAAAATCAGATCTGCCTTGAAAACAATGCAACCAATATTCAGAAATATAAACCTCTCAAATAATTTTATAAGTGCTATAAATCAGACAGCTTGACCCCACTTTGGCTTAAAGAAATTATGCTTCAGTTAAGTTCTAAACATAGCCGATATATGTTAAACTAAGCACAGAGAAAAAATTGTTCTGAGTTATAAACTGACCATAAGGGTTTATAATAGAGAGTCTGGAAGACCCTTAACTACAGCTGTGCTATAATTACTGTCACTATCTGAAGAAAGATTTTTCTGCCTGTTCTGCCAAAAAGCAAGATACTAAATCACAGAAGGTTATGAAGCACTAAATTATTTGTTGTTCTACTATGAACAAGCAGCAATCAACATTGACAACAAGAGGCCTGTATAGTAAATGACTGCAGGTGTGCAAAGAAAGCCTCCTTTTCTTGAAACCACTCTGAGACTAGAGGCAGGAGTACTTGGGTTTCGTGACTGTGCCATTCTTTTATCATTTACCTTCATTCAATGTTACAGCACTCCTCCTTTTAAAACTAATAATAACAGGGCCACATTAGACTTGAGGAACACAGGCAGATCTGTTTAATTAGTTTATCAATACAAGTATATCAAACTTCATGAGTTATTGACTAAACCTTTGATTATTTCTGTTCTACACCACCAACTGCTTTCTAGGTCACTTTTCTACATCTTTTCACACGTGGCATATAACTAAACCTACAGCAGCATGCACCTCTAAAATGAATATTACTAGATACTGTAACAAATTGCCCTTCACTAGTTTTGATGGCAAAAAATTATTCCCATCCTGCAACATGCTTTATGTGTGAACCTTGTGTTAAGGGAATTCCAATTAGGAACATCACTCATACAACATAAAAACTACAACCCAAATTTATATTCAGGTACTTATGTTGCCAGAATACATAAAAGCAAACTTTAAAAAGTCTTTGGACAACATCCAAAACACCACTGACAAGCCCTAACCATAGTCAGTCCTAATAACCAAAATGCCATTCAGCCTAAAGCACTGAATATCACTACACTTTTTTCATTAAAACAGAAAGCGTCTCAGCTTCTAGAACATGGTTTGAAGGTTTATGGTGCAGTTGTACTGCTGAAGCTAAGCAGGTGTGGCCTTGAAAGTTGGATGGCGAACTGTCTGGGAACCATATGTAAACTACTCTGAACTCTTCAGAGTAAGAGCAGGATTTTCATATAATAAATGAAGGTAGTCCTCACAGCAAATAGGATACTGAGGAATGGCTCTGATCCACCAGTAAAACAAAGGATGTTATTTTAAACTGCCATGGTACAATTAATCGTTTAGCAGTTGTAGCACTGAACTAGTTTAACGGCTTAGCTGTAAATGCGTAACATTAAAATCCATCGATTTCCATGACGTAGTGGTTGCTAGCCTGTACCAGTTGAGATGGCAGGTCTAAATGCTACCTTATGTCAAAACCTCCCATATATTAAAATTTAGGGGTCCACAAGTGCACTTATCAGGTCATTACCAGCAAGCGTATTTTATTGTTTATTTAATTTATAGTCACGTCATCCGTCCCCACCTCCCCAACGGGAACCCAAAGTGGCTTATGTTGTTCTCATTTCCTCCATTTTAACCTCATAACAATAACCCTGTGAGGCCTGGGCCAAGATTACCCAGTAGGGCTTTATGGTGGAATTGAGATTCAAATCTGGCTCTCCCAAATCCTAGACCAGTACTATAACCACTACATCACACTGGCTTTCTTTAACATGGTGAAGGCAAAGTAAAAGTTAGGCAGGACTTCTAATTTTTTTTTGGATTTGTATCCTGCCCTCCCCTTAACAGGCTCAGGGTGGGTTCCAACAATACTTTGAAGAACTGGGAGAAACAACTTCTGAGTGTTTCAAAAATTAAGTGTAACTAACAGTGGTGGTGGCTCAGAAGTTAAAACATTGAGTTGCAGACCAGAAGGCTGGTAGCTCGGCAGTTCGAGACCCTAGTGCCATGTGATAGAGTGAGCTCCTATCTCTGGCCCCAACTCCTGCCAATCTAGCAGTTCGAAAGCAAGAAAATTGCAAGAAGAAGAAGAGATTGGATTTATACCCCGCCCTTCACTACCCAAAGGTGTCTCAGAGCGGCTTACAAACTCCTTTATCTTCACCTCCCCACAACAGACACCCTGTGAGGCAGGTGGGGCTGAGAGAGCTCTGACAGAAACTGCCCTTTTTCAAGAACAGCTCTTATCAGAGCTACGGCTTACCCAAGGTCATCCAACCAGGTGCAAGTGGAGGAGTGGGGAATCAAACCTGGTTCTCCCAGATTAGAGTCCCCGCACTTAACCACTACACCAAATAGGTACTGCTTCAGTGGGAAGGCAACAATGTTCTGTGCGCCTTGGCATTTAGTCATGCTGGCCGCATGGCCACAGAAACATCTTCAGACTGCGCTGGCTCTTTGGCTTGGAAACTAAGATGAACACCGCCCCCTAGAGTCAGATTCGACTGGCTTTCCTTTACTTTCCTAATGGTGGCGGACCAACATTTTTGCAACCCTGAAGCTTGAACTGTTATTACAGCTCCTTCTCAAACAGCAACAATAGGGCAACATTCAACAAGGTCCAAAAGGTTTTGCTGCCCTTGCAAGAACCTCGAGGCCCAAATGGCAAAGAATGGGGTGGTGGGGCAGAGCCCTTGAAAATGGGTTTAAATATTTTGTACTTCACCCCTTATGTTTGAAGTACAAGCTTATGATCCTGTCACTAAAATAGCCTTATTTTAATAACACTTTTAAAAACTCCATCAATTTTGTTGAAAAATTCACTCATTCAAAAAAAGTTGCTTCAGGGCCCCTCCAGGATTAGGAGGGGGAAAGGAAAAGTAGAGGACAATATCGTCACAGAAGAACATGGTTCCAGAAGCAGTGATCGCTCTCCAAGTAGCTCTTCTGAGGAAGATTTTGACTGAATCAGAATTAGGCGCCGCGGCTCCTAAATCATTTAAGGTTAAGCTGCCCTTTGACAAGAACAAACGTGGAAGGAAAAAATCAACTAAATAACCCGATTCTCAAAGTGTGTTTCTTTTCTTCTATGCTTATTTACTAAGATGCGCACACACTACAGTTAATTTTGTTTGTACTGCTTAAAATAGAAATATTAACTTTTAACCTCCAATTATGTAAAAGCTAAATGAGAAAACATTAGATAGACGAATTTTTAGAACTTTTGTGATCCCTGCTTACTCTGTATTTTAGTTTAGTTTATTCCTTTTCCCTATACCCTGTAGCATGTTGAGATAAAAAGCAATAAAAAATGTAAGAAGAAGAAGAAGAAAGAAACTAAGCGGTGCCCAAGCGAAAATCCCGAAGGGAAAAAAGATACTGACAATGAGAGACTTTGAATAAGACCAAAAGGTTTAAAATAGTCCAAAGAGTGTTCAAATCGGAGAACTTTCATTTTGATTCAAACAAACTTTATCTTCTATAAACAATGTCGGGCAGAGGAAAAAAGATGGCACTGGAGAAGAAACCCTCGGCCAGAACTACCCAGACAGCAACTCCTACTCGTATGTCAGAAGTAGCTACTGACTTTCCTAGCATGTTGGCAACAGCGTTGCGCCCCCTGCTGGATCAGATGTCTAGTACCAAAATAAACTCAATGGTTTTCAAAAGCAATTGATGGGAATTGACAAAAGGGTAGATGGCGCTAATAAAGCCATAAAGAAAACGGATGCAAAAACAACTGATATTAAGCAGAAACTGAAGGCAGTGAAAAAAGAGCAAATATCAGATAAAGAACAACTTTTATAGCTTCAAATGGAAAGATCAATGTATGTCCTATGCTTCCAGGGTATCCCAGAGCACAAAGAAGAAAACTTAAAAGAACTATTAAGTGACGTATTAGCACCAGTGACAGAACTCAAACAGGATTTATTGCAAAATGATATGGACTTGGTCTATCCAGATTTTATAAAGAAAAACAAAGTACCTGGTGAAATATTTGTCAAATTCTCCAAAAGATCTACCAGAGACACAGTTCTGAAAGCGACAACTGGGAAAACCCTGAAAGTCAAAGGCGAAGAAGCAAGAATCTTAAAGGATATTCCATTTGAGAGACGGAAACAAAGGCGACAATATAAGGACTTAACCTCTTTTCTACATAAAAATTCCATTCCCTACAGATGGATATTCCCAGAAGGATTGATATTTAAACACAACGAAAAGACGATGAATATTGATTCTGCCCAGAAAGCTAAAGACTTTTTGGAACAACAACAAAATCCGACAGGAGACGAAGAAAAGAAAGAAGACAACATCCAAGAAGAAGATAAAAGCGATTCTGAATCAGAAGACAGTTCAAGCAGTTCTGGTAGCACCTCTGAGGGCTCAACCTCAGAAAAAGGAGTCGCTGCTCCCAAATTGCTTAAAGTTAAACTGAAATACAAGAAAAATAAACATGAAAAATAATTATGAAAGTTAAACAACAACAAAAAAGAATGGCCTAGAAATTACTTAAAATTTAGCAGTAATGGCTCAAGTTAATTTTGTTAAGAAAACCTAACAGAGTATTGTATCTATATTTTGATATTGACTTAACATAAGAACGTCATTTAAGAATGTTACTATTGTAGAATGATCCTTGTCTTAATTCTGTAGGTTTTTTGCTATTTTTAAGTTATAGTGATTCCCTATTCCTCTTCCCTGTACATGTGTAGTATATAAAAGCCATTTTAAAATTCTAAGAAAAAAAAAAGGTAGCTGAATATTTGCAAGTGTTAGATACAGAGATTTACTGCCTAAAAAGGGATGGCTCCCCACATACACTTCTGCTTGTGGAAAGTATCACTTATCTCACAGAAGTATCGCTTTATACCCTTCACTGGAAGATTCTATGGGAAAAGTGAAATTCATCGCAGAATACTCTTCTGTTTACACAAGTGGAAGCATGAGAATTGTTATAAAAACTAATACAGCACAGCATAAATACTTCTGCTAGCATTTGTGTGACCACCGAGAGAGGATGCTCCCCTGCTCAGTCCTTTGGATGCTCATATCCAAAATACTTTTCACTGGACTAAAAAGTGTCTTATCTCATATCTCAGCATACTGCATTACTTCTACAAGTGTATAAATAAAATTAAGATGTAGTAATAAAAACAATTTCATGGGGTGCAGACAAGAGTAAAAAATAAACATTTAAAGAAATAATGACAAGAGAACATATTTGTCACCATACCTCAATATTTTTGCTTGCTACATTCTTCACTACAGCTGGAAACAATTCAGATGCATTTTTTCCTCTGGCAATCAACTTAAAAAAAACAAAGTATATATTATAACATGCCATTTTCAAACAAAACAGTCACTATATGCCATCATGAACTGACTACATGTTGTTACAAGGTACTTCAATTTGCAAATTTTTAAAGCTTCTTTACCTTTAAGCAATTTGCTTTAAAGCATCAATAACTTGCTGTATTTCATGTTTTAAACAAAAAGGTATAGAAAACTAAACACAAAGATTCTTGAAAGAATTATCTACATAAATTATTGTTTACTATTGCTTAGTGTTTAGAATTATTGTTTAGTGTACAGGAGCAGAAAAATTATACAGTATTTCATTTCTGAAGAAGTGAGCAGTGAAAGCTCATACCCTGCCACATATTTTGTTAGTCTTTAAGGTGCTACTGGACTCTTGCTCTTTTCTACTGCTACAGATAGACTAACACGGCTACCTATCTTGATCTATTTCAGAAATATCAAGGAGGACACGAGGAACAAGGAAAAGAATTCAATATTTTATGATATAAAAGCAGTACTCAATCTTTAACAGCAAGTTATTTTGTGTAACTAAATAGGTAAGAGCATAATACAGGGATCCCCAACCTTCTTGAGCCTGCAAGTACCGTCAGAATTCTGAGAGGGAGTGGTGAGTGCCACCCCAAAGTGGCTTCCACAAGAGGTAGAGCCAAACTCCAAATGGCTTTTGCAGGAGGCAGAGCCAAACATAAACATTTGCAAAAGCATCATGAGAATAAAAAGAAATGAAGGAAAACCTAGAGAGGTGGAAGAAGGAAAAAGAAAGAGGGAATGAAAACAAAACCTGAAGGGGAAATGGAACCACAATCCCAGGTGCTTACCAGTCCTCCTCATTCTCCAGTGGCTGCAGCTGGAAAACCCCTTTCATTTGCATGAAGACATAATAGCCCCACCAACTTTCTGAAAAACTTGGTGGGCACCAGGGAAAGTACCAGAAGGCGCCATGATGCTCATGGGCACCACAATGGGGAACCTTGGCACAATATACAGTTAAAGAAGGTAAATTACAGGAAAACTGGTGTTCCAGTAATTTGTCTGCATCTTTGCCATGTGCTTTAATCTTTAAAAGAAAGTGGTAACAAAGCAAAAATGTAACAGTCTATTCACAAGATATTTATTCTGATTAACAGGGATAGAAAGCAAATTCTCATTGTCAATTTCAAGAAACCACCAATTCTTTACATCTAGTTCAGGGGCAATTAGATTAGGGAATTTGGTGTGGGGGACAATTAGACTAGGAATACTGGTAAAAAAATGGTTCAGAGATACTTTGTATAAAATATGTTATGCTATGACGGTAAACTTTTAAAAGATTACTAGCTTCAAAAGGTATCAAGGAAATACGCATGTATCTTGCATTATTTAACTGACCAGCCATAATAGCTGCAGTGTACCATGTAAATATGTATTTAGGATCTTTTTAAAATGTATTTTGTCTCATTAAGTCATAATGATCAGTGTAAATCCTCCTTTGTTCATGGCTCATTAACCAAAGAGAACATAATGGGTCTTTCAAAGACTAAGGTATCAGTTTAATTTAGCTAGCATGTTAAACAGCTCCAATCTTATATATTGATAGAATAGGAAGACACATTTGAGCATGCAAGTTTCTTTCCTAACCTGTTGCCATGCTCAGCATGGCATAACCCTGACTATCATGGAGCCAGTGGTCTAAAATTACCCTTTGTAAACAAGGACATAATTGCTCAATCTAGCTGAACTGGCATGATGGAAACGTGGAAAAATGAGGAAAATCTATAGGACACAGTTATCCCTGGGCATTAAGCTCGATAGGCAAGACAGGGAGGTTGCTGCATTGTACATCAAAGAGGTCATAGAATCAAATATGTCAGAAAACATTAGGGGAATTAACTCCCCAACAGAAATTATATGGGTGGAAATACTGGGTCCTAAGGGTTACTTAAAAGTGGGGACACCCACCTGATCAAACCCTTGAGGCTGACCTTGAGATGGAGAAGGAAATAAAGGAGTTGATTTCAGCAGATGATGTTATGATACTGGAAAACTTCAACTACCCTCATATTGATTGGGTAAACATGTGCTCAATTCAGGCTGTAGAAGTGAGTCTCCTAGACATCACAAATGACTATGCACTGGAACAGTTGGTCTCAAACCCCATGAGAGGGGTAGTGATCTTGTACTTGGTGAAAGATGTAGAAATTGCTGCACCAATTGGAAACAGTGAACACAATGCTATTAAGTTTAGTATTCAATATCAATGGAAAGTTACTCCTAAAGTCTAAACGTTACAGAAATTAGGGAAATAGTTAGCAGAAAGCTGAAAGGAAAACACAAGAAATCCTAAGGGGATGTTTGGAAGCTATTAAAAACCACACTAACTAAAACCCAGGTAGAATATATTCCACAGGTGAAGAAAGATACTGCCAAATCTAAAAGAATGCCTGCAAAGTTAGCAATGTAAGTCAAGGAAGCTATAAAGAGTAAAGAGGCTTCTTTTAAAAAGTGGAAAATGTGCCCCAATGAATTGAACAGAAGGGACCACAGGTTCTGGCAAAAGAAATATAAGATTAGCACACCACTGCCGGGCTGGGGCTGCAGCGAGGACTGGCCAGTGGCAGCAATGTAAAGTCATCAGATTCCGGTGCTCTTTGGGAGGGGAAAGTACAGCGGTGGGCCCAGGCCGCGGAGTATGGGAAGGGTGCTGAGAAACAAAAGGGCTCGGCGCCCTTCCAGCCTGCAGCTCATCCCAAAGGATGACGGCAGTGGGGCTAGAATTAGTAACCTCCCTCCGACATTGGTACTGTGCAACGCCAGGTCAATTAACAATAAAACAATGGTCCTTAGGGATTTCATTATGGAACAACAGGCTGACCTGGCTTGCGTGACGGAGACCTGGGTGCGGGAGGGGGAGACGGTAGCTCTCTCCCAGCTTTCCCCACCTGGGTTCTCGGTCCTGCACCAATCGCAGACTAGGGGGTGGGGGGGAGGAGCGGCGATATTTGTACGTGAGGCTTACTCCTTCAGGGCGCTCCCTATAGTGGAAATCGAGGGCGTAAAGTGTGTTGGCCTGGTGCTGGAGGCCGAGGAGAGTTTGGCAATCTGGCTGGTGTACCGACTGCCTAACGCGCCAGCCAGTAGCCTGCCGTCCCTACTCGAGGCCGTATCAGGCTGGGCGCTGGAGCGCCCTAGGCTTCTAGTCTTGGGTGACTTCAACGTCCATGCCGATGACACGGCCTCGAGTTGGGCTACGGACCTGGTGACGTCCATGGCATCACTAGGACTCTCCCAGTGGGTGTCGACCCCCACGCATCAGGCTGGGCACATACTCGATTTGATCTTCGCGTCTGGGATTACAGTGGACCGGATTACTGCGAAAGCGGTACCATGGTCGGACCACTATGCCCTGAAGGCTCGTGCAAATGTCCCGCCCTGACCCCGTTTAGGCGGTGAGTGGATTTTAGCTCGCCCACGGAGCCTAATGGACCCAATGCGGCTTCAGATGGCTCTGCGGGATCC